CTTCGGCTTCTTGAGCCATTCTTGCTTCTTGTTCTGCAGCCTCTTCTTCGTTGGCTAATGGCTCTAGATCATCGTCATACGGAACAACACTGCCACATTTGAAAGATACTTCGTTAAAATATTCTTCGCCTTCACTTTCAGATGAACTGGAAGAAGAATTCGAGGAAGAATACATCTTATGAAACGCCTAGAATTTCCACTGTGGAATCTCTCACTACACACGAAGCACGATGCGAAAGTGCGCGTATGACGTCACAGGCCGACTCATGCGTAAAACCGCTCGGTTGCGAGCTGAGTAATGGCGGACGGGTTTTTCGTGAATTTCGGCCAGCTATATCAAGGCGTATTTCGCTTCCATCGACCTAAAAACTATCGCATAGTACAATTCTAGCCATAGTAACTTGATTGGCGCTAAAAAAATGTCAAAAGCAAAGACAAAAATTTTCGTCGTAATGGCACTTTAAGGTTACTTTAAGTGGTCCTAATTCTTTTAGTGGATTTAAGGCGGCTTAAACTAGAACAAAATATTTGAGCACATTTACTTCAATAATATATTTAAGGAAACCGGACGCCTTTTAATTTCAGTCCGTAATCACATACTGACAAAGAAATTGACCTCTTTAAACCAGACGTGAAAGTTTTAAGTCTGCCACCAAAATCAAATCACATGTTTTTAAACGTGATTAGAATTAAAATTGTAATCATGCAGCTGTGGAATCCCAATCAGAAGTGAGAAATTTGTATCGGCTAGTTACTCATTGTTTTATCGGTACTGAAGCAAAAATTCCAAAGTCGACAATCATGCCGCTGTTGTTGCGTTGAATGAATGACACCAATAGGGGTCAGGTTAATTGTTTCTTCCTTTACTATTAGGGCTCTAGTAGTACTCGTGTACCATGTACAGGTAATTACAGTCACACAATACATTATGCGGCATGAAATTGCCTAATGGGTAAAATCTCACTATACCGGACACCCGTCTAGACCGGACCTTTGCACAGGTCCTAAGGGTGTCCGGATTAGAGGGGTTCCACTGTACTCGTCAACAACAGAAGAACAAATAGCTCGCTAGTACATGCTTATGACACAGACGCGTATAGACTCTCTCTGTTACAAAATTTGTTTGGAACCCTTTTGAAACGCTAATAGAAATGTTTTGGTAAAGCCTCCCTCTGTAATTAGTTCTTTTGACTGTCAGCTCGCAAGTTTTGGAAGAAATCAAAAAAATGTCATTCACCAGCCTAGGTCGGTGGTCCGCATGGGGAAAAACTAGCTATGCCCTCTGCCTTGAGTACCGCCCTCGGCCAAAAACCTTAAGTGGTATCCAAAACTTCAAGCACAGTTTTTCCCCATACGGAACACCCGACCGGTGAATAACATAAATTTCTTGACAGAATACGTGATATAACAATAACAATAATAATAACGAAGTACTGCGATATCATCTTGCTCTTTTGTTTTAGAATTGAATATAAGTGCTAGGTCAACAGTTAGACTTCCACACCTTGGTCAAGACAAAATACGGGGATCAGAATAAAGTGGATTGTATCAGAAACCAGAAAATTATGATTCATCTACTGATCCATGCAGTTTACAAATCTAACGCTAATTTTAAACGGTGCATCTCTCAAACCTGAAATTCTCCCGGCAAAAGCCTCTTCCATCTGTAGAGGGAACAGAAAAGTGAAACTGAACACGAGAACGAAGAGTTCATCAAGCACCTTTTAAGAACAACACACAATCAGATAAACATATCAATGTTTACTGGTCGAAAACGACAGATTTTAATTATTTTTTTATCAATAACATCTTTCGAAAACCACTTTATAGCTTGCATATCAAAGCACTGCACAAGCGCACTTGGAAGGTTTGAGTTGATCAAAGTAGGTTTTTATTTTCCTTGGTAGCCAAAAAAATTGAACAACAACCAAAACTAAAATGCAATTACATGATTTGCATGTAATATGCTGCAACACCAGAAATGCTAGTAATTAGTATATTCCCAAGAAATTGTCATCCCTTGATATGAATAAAGAAAAAAAAACATGGTTACCATTTCTTGGAGCCTCGTCAGAAATGAGGATAGGTCGTATTCTCCATCAGTACAACTTTTACTGGTGATAACCATGGATATGTTAATTACACTTCTGGCCAAGACTGTGCATTAAAGTAAGACACCACAATTAGACACAGGTAAACGTAGACTTGTTTGATACTTTGATGGATTCTTTGCATATGACCCTTTACTTTTCATTTCCCGCGTGACAGCAAAAAATACCATCATCAAATATTTGAAAAAGGACCAGTGGGCCACCACTTTTACTTGGTGGTTCAAGCATCTCACAGGTTAGCCAACAAAATTTTAAATTGACCATGATCTAAATATCGTGGGAATCGCGTCAAGAACACTTTGATTTTACAAGTCCTAAGGAGAAGCATACTCTTCCAGCTCTTTATGACTTTCTACACGATTGATCTAGGAAAAATCTTCTAACAAGAGGGGTACTTCATGAGATTTTTACGAGTAGTAAGTTACAAATCTGGTGAACAGGCCATTAACTTAGCTACACCAGTCTAGTGTCTTTCTCCTACTCACATCCATGATACATTTAGGTTGCTTTATCATAAGAGCTCATCCTGATCGACATTTTAAGCATGAAGGAGTTAATTTTTTGAAAAGTTTGAGATTTTATAAGAAAACCTTGGCTTCAGGCATTAGCTAGATCCTTTATCACTCGGTAAGGATTGGGACGACACCATTTATGATTAACATACCTTCACAATCTGCCAGATCAGATGATCGGTAGTAACCTTCATTACAAATGCAACCAGTACTGTCAATATTAGATGCTGAATTTGAAGGACAAGGTACACATTTTTCATTGCCAACAGAATCCTTGTAGAAGCCCTTCTGACACCCTAAATTGAAACAATGTGTAGTATCATCGACATACCTTTTCCTCAGAACACATTGATACAATGAGATGTGCTTTTCAAGACAAAAAGAATTCCTGCCATGCAAATGACTAATGTCCGTAACGGAAAGTTAGACATATTTGATAACTCTGGTATTAGTCATTATTAGAGGCTTTGTAACCAAGACAACTATTTTTGTCTTCACTCCTAATGACTTTCATAATGACTATAATTAGGTCATGAAACAAAATATGTACATCAACTCAACCTGGGGTTCTCAGACCAACCAACTAAGACCTGAAAACAAAGACCCGAAAACGAAGTACCTAAATGAGATAAATGTATTATCTGCAAAAAAAAAACAAAAACAAACAAAAAACAAAAAAAAACAAAACAAAACAAAACAAAACAAAACAAAACAAGAAAAGCAAAACGAGACGGCACTTTGCTAACGGTACTTTGCAGAGAGGGACTCTATGTTCTCGGGTCTTACGTCCACGGACATTTATCTTCGTTCATCGATAGAATAGATAGAATAGATAGAATAGAATAGATAGAGATCAAACCTGTCATAAGCTTCCTATCAAACGATGAACAAACGGGGTTGTCATTGAAATGTTTAACCATTTAAATGATTAGATATTCATCTTGGATCCTCATCTTTAGATGCAAATCCAAGTTTTAAGTGCAGCACTGACCTCTGCATACAAAAGAGTCTGAAGATCGATTGATTAGCTCATAAC